GAGCTTTACCACTTGAACTACAGCTTTACCTCTGGCTTTTGGCTGGTTAATTGGAGATAAAAGGACAAAAGTCTCCTATACTTTTATTGCGTGGGCTGGCTTTGATTTTTTTTTTTTTGGGTCCGGTCGTGGGGCCTGAACTCTGGGCCTGGGCGCTGTCCCTCAGCTCTTCAGCTCAAGGCTAGCACTGTACCACTTGAGCCACAGCGCCACTTCCGGCTTTTTGTTTTTGCTTATGTGGTGCTGAGGAATTGAACCCAGGGCCTCAGACATGCAAGGCAAGCGCTCTACCATTGAGCCACCTTCCCAGCCCCCTGGGCTGGCTTTGAAATGTGATTCTTAGATCTAAGCCTCCACTGGAGCCTGAGTCAACAGACCTTTGACAAAGGAACAAAAGCTCTTGGAACAGTGTTTGTCTTCATTATTTTATTTATTTATTTTCTGTTGGTCATGGGCCTGAACTCTGGGCCTGGGCGCTGTCCCTCAGCTCTTCAGCTCAAGGCTAGCACTGTACCACTTGAGCCACAGCATCACTTCCGGCTTTTTCTGCTTATGTGGTACTGAGGAATCGAACCCAGGACCTCATGCATGCAAGGCAAGCACTCTACCACTGAGCCACCTTCCCAGCCCTGTCTTCATTTTTTTTTTTTTGGGTCCGGTCGTGGGGCCTGAACTCTGGGCCTGGGCGCTGTCCCTCAGCTCTTCAGCTCAAGGCTAGCACTGTACCACTTGAGACACAGCGCCACTTCTGGCTTTTTTCTTTTTGCTTATGTGGTGCTGAGGAATCGAACCCAGGGCCTCTGGCATGCAAGGCATGCGCTCTACCACTGAGCCACCTTCCCAGCCCTGTCTTCATTATTTTTAAAGCTTGCTTTTGCCTTGTACAATTCACTAATAGTTACAATGGATACCTTTGTAAAAAAAAGAAAGCTTTTCTAGAGACTGAAGTATTATCACCACATTTAATTCAAAATCTAGTCCATCATGAAAAATGTATTTCTATTACTCCATTATTATCTTAAAATAGGACAACGATGTTGGTATTGACATTACAATTTATTTGGCCTGAAAATTGCTCTTGAGACAGTAGTAGAAAAAGACTGTGCATTTCTCACTGCTAATTGTTGTAACAATGTTCTCTTCTCCAAGGAAACAGAAGATGGCCTGCTTTACAAGAACAAATGCTTCTAGAGTGAACACCATCCACACACTAAAAGGACAAAGTTCAGATTATAAAGGGAGAGCTGGAGGAAATTATTTCCCCAAGGAACTAGTTTAAATAAGGCTCAAAACTTAGTTCTGACCTTTTTACTAGCCAAAATAAAAGGAAAAGGTGGTTGAATTAATAGTTGGTCATTTTTCCAGCAGAGAGGTTCTTTAGCATTGTTAATTCTTCTATATAAATATATTTTGTAATGCCTTATCTAGAAATAGGGTATAATATATAATATCTAGAATTAGGACAATAGAGAAATTAAAGGTTTGTAGCTTTCCATACTTATGTCCAGGTATAACAATTAGAAGGAACAATGATGTCAGTACAAGCTTCTATCTGTAGAAGAATCATTGTAAATACAGCAGCTGCAAATGTCTTCTGGTTCAGATGTGTGAGCTACTGAACTACCACCAGTCTCTCTGATGGTAGTGATGGAATTTGTGTGTGTGGAGGGGGGATATATGGAGATTTGAATAGTTTTTGCACTTTTAATGTACATTTACTTATTTGTTTGTTTTTGTCCCCTTTCTGGAGCTTGAACTTAGGGCTTGAGTACTGTCCCTGTGCTTCTTTGCCCCAGGCTGTTGTTGTACCACTTGAGCCACAGATCCACTTCTAGCTTTTTGGCGGTGAACTTTCTTGCCTGGGCTGGCTTCCAAGCATGATTTTCAGATCTCAGTCTCCTGAGCAGCTAGGATTACAGGTGTGAGCCATCAGCACTAGGCTTGCACTGGTTGTTATAATTATTATAACAATTTTTATTTTGTGCTGGTCCTGAGGCTTGCGCTTAAGAGTCTTGGAGCTGTCTCTGAGCTTTTTTGCTCAAAGCTGGTTGTCTATCACTTGAGCCAGAGCTCCACTTCCAGATTTTTTGGTGGCCTAGGGACAACCCAAGCCCTGAGTTCAAGCCCTCAGAACCTGCACACCCACCCACCCACCCACCCACCCACACACACACACACACATATATACACACACACAGAGGCACTTATAAAGGTCAAAAGTTTTATAAAAAAAATTAAAGTAGCTCTGGAGTGGCCCAGAGAACTGAGGAATGGAACCCACATCCATGTTGTGCTGAGCCTTCTCTCCCTCTTCCCTTCCCTCTCTCCCTAGCTCCCTCTTCCCTCCGTTCCTTTCCCCCTCCACTTAGACGCCACTGGGGTGGAGGGGCAGGAGCTGCAGTTGCTTCCCAGGTGGGTGGTGAGCACCCTTCACAGTGCACAATGGAGCTGTGGCTCAAATGGTAGAGTGCTAACCTTGAGCATAAAAGCTCAGTGACAGCACCTAGGCCATGAGTTCAAGCTCCAGGACTGACAGGAAAAAAAATAGAAAGTGTTTATTTTTGAAAAATGAACATGTACATTCTCATAATATTATGTAAATGCTATTAAAAGGATATTATTTTGAGCCTTTGTATAAGTACACTTCTCTCTCTCTCTTTCTCCCTCTTTCGCTCTCCCTTTCTTTCTTTCTTTCTTTCTTTCTTTCTTTCTTTCTTTCTTTCTTTCTTTCTTTCTTTCTTTCTATCTTTCCTTTTTGCCAGTCCTGGAGCTTGAACTCAGGACCTAGTCACTGTCCCTCAGATTCTTTTTGCTCAAAGTTAGCACTCTACCACTTGAGCTACAGCATGACTTCTGGCCTTTTCTGTGTATGTGATACTGAGGACTACCCAAGGCTTCATGCATGCTAGGCAAGCACTCTACAAAGCCACATTCCTAGCCCTGTATAGGTACATTTCTGATTTGTGGCAAAAGAAAAACTAAACTGTCCCAAACAGAAAAATAATGGCTATCAGAACTATGTTTTTAGTGTGAACTACCATTACTTTTTATTGTAAAGGTGGACATTGAGCATTTGGTACAGTTTTCAATAAAATTAATTAAAATTTGTTAAAATTTGGATGCCAGGCACTGGTGGCCCATGTGTATAATCCTAGCTACTCAAGAGGCTGAGATCTGAGGACCACAGTTGGAAGCCAGCCAGAAAAGTGCCCCTGAGATTCTTATTTCCAATTAACCCCTCAAAAGCTGGAAGTGGCTCAATGTGGTAGAGCTCTAGTCTTAAGGAAAAGAGCTCAGGGACAGAGCCTAGGCCCTGAGTTAAAGCCACACTACTGACAAAAAAGAAAAAAAGAAATGTAAGAGAATGTTTGAAGTGGCATTATTCCTAATATTCACAAATGGAAACAACTCAAATGCCCTTTAACCGTGGAATAGATAAATAAACTGTGACTTACTCACACAAAGAAATACTATGCACTGGTGAAAATGAACAGATTGCTACCACAGAAACCATAATGTAATATGAGAAACAGAATGCACAGTCAATGATTTCAAAAGTTCAAACACTGGTAAAACTATGAGACCAGAGAAGAAGAAGTGGGTTTCCATGATCCTGCTAGTAGTCTGTTTCTAGACCTGGAGAGAGTTAGTATGCTCATTTAGCAGGAGAATGTGAACAGACTCCACAACAAGAGCGCAGAGGGGAAAAATCCAACCACGAAACCAGTGCAAACAACATCAAAACCCACATAATTTGAAGAGAAGAGCCCATGAATATCCCAAAATAGTAAATTCCAGCTTGTTCTTGGCTTTTAAACAGATGTCCTCACATATGCACTATTGACAAAACCACCACTCTGACTGAGAAAGACTTCAGGCAAATGCCAAAACATCCACCTTCAGACACCACCAAGTATCATCACTGCCAGCATAAGAGCAGAAGGGAAGAGTTAAAGATCAAGTCACATCAGAAAGAATGACACTGCCCCATTTGTATGGAAATGGAAAGACTTGGAAATAATATTAAGTGAAGTAAGCCAGACCCAAATTATTTGCAATACATAGTATACATCTAGGATAATCTTAGATGAGCAGAATAGCTCAATACCTGTGATCATAAGATGACACTAAGCAAAATGAACTCCAAGACATGGACACAAGAGGTTTTTCTTTATTGTTGTTTTTAATGTACTATGTGATTTCTTGTTTCTTTTGTATGTTTCCCCCCTATGTTATATGCCCTGTTGTCATTGTATTTGATTTTGGTACCCTGGTCTTGTATATGTGTATATCAGAATTAGGGAAGGGAACGGGAACAGCAGAATGGTGAGACAAAGGACAAGGGGAAACCAATGGAATAGTGATATTCACAACATAATATGTGGGGAATGATCTGTGCATCTTGGGGGGGATGGAAGGAGGTAAAATAGGAGGGATGAGGAAAGGGGTAACAAATTTGACAAGAAATGTACTTATTGCCTTATGTAATTGCAACCCCTCTGTACATCACTTTGACAATTAAAAAAAAAATCAAGTCACTTCCCACCCTAGCTACCAGGAGCTCTGGAGTTACCTGGGTTACCTGGGCAACCGAGGGGCTGGCTGGTTGCAGTAGGCGGGGCTGAGCCCCTGCAGGGGTCCATGGTAACCAAGCGGGGCTTTGTGCGTCTTAGCAACACGCCCACCCCCGCAGCGCCTCCGCTCACCGAGCCCCTCCCTCCCCTCTCCCTGCAGAGGAGGCGCTGGATGGTTCTTCGTTTTTCCGTGGTATAACCAGTTTGAGAGCCAGAGCAGAGAGAGGGACGGTGAGGGAAAAAAAATTAAACTGAAGAGAAAACAAAAAAAAAAATCCAAAATTTGGGTAATTTTTATTTTGTAATGCACATTCCAAACTCCAAGGGGAGGGACTAAAGGGTGAGAAAGTCACTATAATACAAACTCCATATAAGGAAAGAAGAAAAGACACCCGTGGAGGCGCAGTTCAGACTGGGGGTCCAGAGATGCTGGACACTATCGTCCCCGCTGTGCAGGAGCTGGGCAGGCAGGTGCTGCCCACACTGCCCTTGCTGAGCCAGGAGGGTAAGTGGCTTGGGATGGGGCCCTAAGGCTGGACCTACCGCGTGGAGGGAGGCCACTTGTTTCTAGCTTGGAGTGCCTCATTGTCTTGGCAACTAGGTAGTGGCACTGGATGCCCAGGTTCTGCATCTAATCAAGGGAAAGGAGACAATTCAGTGTGTGTGTGTATGTGTGTGTGTGTGTGTGTGTGTGTTGGGGGTGGGGGGGGTAGTAGGGCCTCTACCTCTAAGCTAATACTCTACCACTTGAGACACACCTCCCTGTCTGGGTTTTTTTCTCAAGGACTGTTTACCCCCTTTTCCATCTTTGAACAATTATTCTTAGATATCAGCCTCCTGAGTAGCTAGGATTTCTGAAGTGAGGCACTTACTAGTGCCTGGCTTTATGTATGCTATCCAGTCTTGTGAACCTTCAAAACTATGGTCTACAGCAACGACTTCTCTTTAGAGTAAACACTGCTTCCAGTTATTTCATTGTAGTCACACAAAGCTGACTTAATATACCAGTGTTATAAGATTTTTCCTTTATTTTTTAATCAAGAATTAGTGAGGATTTGTTGAATGCCATTTCTGCACCTGTTGATATGATCCTATGATTTTTCTTTTTATCCTTTTTTTTTTTGCCAGTCATGGTGCCTGAACTCTGGGCCTGGGTGCTGTCCCTCAGCTCTTCAGCTCAAGGCTAGTGCTCTACCACTTGAGCCACAGCACCACTTCCAGCTTTTTCTGCTTATGTGGTGCTGAGGAATTGAACCCAGGGCCTCATGTATGCAAGGCAAGCACTCTACCACTGAGCCACCTTCCCAGCCCCCTTTTTATCCTTTTTTAAAGGAATGGATTAACTGATTTCTGTATGTTGAACTAGTTATAAACTTGATTATTGATTTTAGATCTTTCTTTTTTCTAATTTTATGCATCCATTGCTATGTTTCACTTCAAGCACTGCTTTTGCTGCAGACAATACATTTTTATATGCTTGGGCTTTCATTTTCATTAGTTCAAAATGTTTTAAATTTCTATCAAGATCGCTTCTTTGGCCCATATGTATGAAGTGCATGTTGTCCATTGAGAAATAACAAATTTCAGTAGACAATTAAGCTGCTTTTCCTAATTTTTGTCGATTGTATTTGATTGAGTAAAACATTGCAGCAGACTTGAATATATCATCTACATGAAGGAAGGCTATTCTCAAATTTCCAGTTAAGCTCAGACAAGTCTTTTCATCAGGATCTGGTTGCAAACACTACATTGTCTCCTGGCCCTAAATAAATCATTTCCTCTTTGGTATAGATGGCTTTCCTGAAATGTGAGCTGTAGGGCGTGTCTCCACAAAAGACTTTTAGTGGTAAACTTTTAACAGTTTTGACTCAGTAACCTTGAACATTCTCCAATGCACATCGGGATTCTGAGACTTTTAGTAGTAAATTAATGACATTTAAATCAGGCATTGGTGGCTCATGCCTGTAATTCATGCTTCTCAGGAGGCTGAGATCTGAGAATCATGGTTCAAAGATAAGCTGGCCATAAAAGTTGATGAAATATTTACTTTCAATTAAACAACAAAACAAAACAAAAACCAGAAGTGAGGGTATGGCTCAAGTGAGAGAAAAAGCCAAGAGAAAGAGAGAGAGACAGAGACAGAGACAGAGAGGGAGACAGAGAGAAAGAAAGAGGGAGAGAGAGAGAGAAAGGCCCTGAGTTCAAGCCTTAGTACCAGAAAACACACAGTCTCTCTCTCTCTCTCTCTCACACACACACAAATTAACATGACATTTTTGGGTCATGATGAAAATAAGACCCTAATTCTTTTTTTTTTTTTTTCAGGTAAGGGGTAGGTTTATTCAGTAGACCTGCTGGGACCAGGCAAGGTTGGCACTCCACGTGGCTGGGAAAGGCCTGGGAATGAGAGAGAACTGGGAAAGAGAGGGAAGAGCTAGAAAAGAACAGAGGGAGAGCAGAAAAGAACAGAGAGAGAGAGCTGGGAAAGAGGAAAGAGAAAGGAAAGAGCTAGAAAAGAGCAGAGGGAGAGCAGAAAAGAACAGAGAGAAAGAGTTAGAACAGAAAGAGAGCTAGAATAGAACAGAGACAAGACCCTAATTCTTTCCAGTCAGTAGTGGAAGCCATTTGGCTGTGGAGTAGTGTATATGTATATGTGTGTGTTGAGGGGGGGGGGATGGTTAAAGGAACTGCACATCCCTGTTTTAGAGTGTGGGTAGAATTTGAGCTCACTCACTGTTGCATGCAGCCCTAGTTTTATTGGTGGTGATTGAATTTCCATCATTAAACTTGTTCTCACATGCTTATGGGAATAACTGCTTCTTCTCATCCACCAAACTTGCAACTTAATGAAAATACTTGGAACCCTGTTACATCAGAAATAACAGATTACAGTCTTACTGGTTTCAACTATCAGGAGAACTAATAATACCAATAAACTAAGCCTTCTCCAAAGCAGGAGAAGAACTGGACTTTTGTTACCACCTTCACCAATATCCCAAAAAGGCAACCTGGTGAATGTTACTTTCGTTTTAACAGCATTGAGGTTTGAACTCAGGGCCTTGAACTGACTAAGCAGGTGCTCTACCACTTGAGCTATATCCCCACCCTCATTTGCTCTGATTACTTTTTCCCAGTGGATCTTGCATTTGCCCCCTGGGATTTGCCATCCTCCTACCTATGGCCTCTCACATAGCTGGAATTGCAGGTACAGACTAGCAAACTCATCTTATTGGTAGAGATGGAGTCTCACTAACTTGTTTTCTTGACTGGGCTGGCCTCCTGAAGACCTGGGTTTTTAGTGAATTTCATCTTTCTTGACTTTTCATTTTGAGAATTAAAACAACATTCTTGATTTGCAAAGAGTTTCTAAATGAAAAGTATCCTTAGTAAACATGATTACATTTGGAATGGGGATATCAATACAGTCATGTTTCTCTATATTTCTGAATATTGGCCAGATCTAGAGTATATATTTATATTCCACATCAATACTAAGAATTATTGGCAACTCAAAAATAAGAAAATAAGCATAGAAGTCTTCCTTTTGGCCAAGCTAGAAATAAAAAGGCTATGCAAAGTAAAGTCCTTGTGCCCTTATTCTTAGCCTAGGCTCTTAAAAAGATTAGTTTAACTTGGACATGTAAAATAGTATTTATCAAAATGAATTTCAGGTAACAGAAATATGAGTTATTTAGTGTTGTTGTTGTTTGTGTGGTGTAGCTTGTATGTATTTTTTTCTTTGCTTAGGGAGGACAAAGGGGGGGTACAGAAAAGGAGGGAGGAAGGGTGAACAAATGCAATCATAGCATTCAGTATACACTGTGTGTAAATGGAACTATGCAGCTTGAGGGAAAGGATGAAAGGCAGAAACTGGTTTAAAGTGAAGGAAGGGGAAAGCAAAAGAAGGGATATCATTGTCCCATAGAGAAATATATATATTACCTGAATTGTGAAATGGTAACCTCTCTATAATAATAATAATAATATATCAAAATTATTTAGACACAATTATATTAAACTTGTGATTCACAGCAGTAAATTAGGAGATCATATCTCAACCAATAAAAAGTTGGCGCACTTTCTGTGTTGGTACACCTTGGTATCATGGGAAGCATAAATAGGAGGATGGCAGTCCAGGATGGCCTAGGCAAAAAGTTAAACTATTCAAGAAATAAAGCAAAAAGGGATGGAGAAATGGCTCAAGTGGTAGAGTGCATATCAAGCAAGCACAAGGTTCTGAATTCAATCCCCAGTGCCACAAAAAAAAGAACAAAAATTTTAATATATATTTTTTATTGTAAAGATACTGTACAGAGGGGTTTCAGTAAGGTAATGAGTACCATTTCCTATCAAGCATTGTTACCCCCTCCTTTGTTTTTCCCCTGCCATTCCCTTTTCTCCTCACTTCCCCAACTCCTCCTCCCCCTGCCCCCCAACCCCAGCCCCCCACCCCTGCGCCTGAAGTTTTAAAGTTCGTTTTTAATATAGTGTCTTGTACATCTCATTGTTACAATGGGTCAACCTGTATCCCTATTGACAATTTTTTAAATTAATTTCAGGACAGACTTGACAAACAGTTGATTAATGAGCCAGTGCCTCACACCAGTAATCCTAGCTACTTAGGAAGATAAGATTTGAAGATCTCTGTTCAAAGCCAGCCTGGGCAGGATAGTCAGTGAGACTCTTATCTCCAATTAACTATCAAAACAGCTTAAAGTAGAGTTGTGAGTCTAGGGGTAAAGTGCAAGCCTTGAGCAAAAAAAGCTCAGAGACAACATTCAAGCCCTGAGTCCAAGCTCCAGGAGCAGTGCACGCATGCACACACACACACACACACACACACACACACATACACACACGCGCACAAGCACATGCACACATAACACAAAAACCAGACTATAGTTGGTTAACTTCATTAGTATGGTAAAAGAAAATAGGCAACTGAATTCTCTTTACTCTGGAATGATTCTCTTTAAAAAATTTACTGCAGCTGTTGTTGATATCAAAACAAATCTTCAGCTAGGAGCTGAATAGGCTCATGCCTATTCAGGAAGCTGAGATCTGAGGATCATGGTTCAAAGCCAGATCAGGGAAGAAAGTCCATTTGACTCTTATCACCAATTAACCACCAGAAAACTGGAAATGTTGCTGTGGCTCAAGTGATAAGAGTGCTTGCCTTGAGCTCAGGGGCAGCATGCAGGCCCAGAGTTCAAACCCTAAGACCAACCAAAAAAAAAAAAATATCTTTGGAATTGATATGTGTAAGCTTTAGATTCCAGAAAATTAACCTTTGGAAATGATTCTATTCTCTGTCAATTCTAAATAAGTAGGGAGTTACTGTCATGACCTATTTACATACATGCCTTAATTACATTTTTTTGCTTATTAGCATGAAGGCCTCATCAAATGGGTGCTCATAGAAATTATTTTGGTGTTTTTTGCATTTCAGAGGTTTCTATGATCTGGGAGTATGTTTCCGAGTTTGTGGAACGGCAGCTCACCTTGCACAAGGTAGGATTCGACTTCAATTTCAACATAGGGGTTCCCAGGGACTTTCTTTTTTACGGAACCATCCAGCATTGCATTCACTCCTATGGTTTTACTATATTGAGGGCTAGTGAGTAGCAGTTTTTTTGTTTTTTTTTTGTCGGTCGTGGGGCTTGAACTCTGGCCTCAGCTCTTCAGCTCAAGGCGAGCGCTCTACCACTTGAGCTACAGCGCCACTTCTGGTTTTCTGGTGGTTTATTGGAGATAGGAGTCTCAC